GGTAAAGCGTTGATCCAAATAGAATATTTTAGCCTCTGATCAATGTAAAAAATATATATAATCATTATTCTATAATTAAAGATTTTATAATAAAGTGTACGTTATTATTGCACATTGCACAATAAATAAATAAATAAATAAAAAGGAAAGAAATACTATGATTATCCCACTTTTAAAAGTGGGTGGACCAACAAAGGTTCTTTCATATCTCCATTCCCATTTTCAATTGTGGTGATATTAGGAATCCATAAACAACATCTCCAATAGATTCTGCTACACATGAGAAAGCTTCCCCTTCTCCATATTGGACATAAATTGATAGGTAAACACTTAAAGATGTTTTTTTATGGAGTGGAGGGGAGGATTTATGGGTAGGGAAAACTATGGGGATGCGACCGTGCCGAGGCCATACCTATTGTGAGGGCTATAAAATGGGCGTGAGAAAGGGTGTTCGGGATATTGAAATTCAATCGGATGCTAAGAATGTAATGAATTGGATCTATGAGCATACCATATTAAGAGATCTAATTCGAAGTTTACTTGAGGCTGCTTTCAATTGGGTGGACAGGTCGGGTTGGAGGATATCCATTGTGCAATTTACCGTGAGCAAATTAAAGCAGGGTGGCGGATGCTCTTTTCTATCTTGGGTATTTAACAGCAAGCCAACTTGGTGGAATTGAAAACTTTCCCTTCTTGTAGTGTGGGTGACGAGTGTCTGTAGAGCGAGGGAGAGTGTCTAAGCTTGGGTACGGTCTCCCCCTCCCATCTTGATAAGAAAAAGAAATGTTCTTCCCACAATGCTTTGTCGGATCGGAGTGTGGGGCCTCTTAGGGTTGGGGATTGAACCTTTTGAGAGAAGAAAAAGAGATGTTTTTTATAATGTGTACAAACTTATCTGTCTTAACTTATTGGATACTAACATTATAAAAACTTTCAATTAATTACAATAAATATATTTGAATGATGTTGTGTACTAATAAAACAAAAGTACACAAGAAAAAAAAAAAAACACATTTCACTGTCATCTGTCCACCCTTTCTCTCACCTAAAAATGCAAATAAAAGTCCACATTGTACATTTGTACTACATTAATATATTAGGCATGTTTATGTATATATGAAAAATTTTAAAGTCCTAATCTGAATCGATGTCTTTTATATATGGTATAATTTTAAATTAAATGGAGAACTTTAAATTTATACCAGTATTTTTAAGACCATCTCCAACCTACATTACACCAAAATACTAAATTTCTCCACCAAATATCATATGATATGATTCATATCAAATAGAATATTCTCACACCAAATTTTATTCATCTCCAACCCATTTACACTAAAACACCAAAACATCAAATTTTTATACTAAAATAATTTGATTTCTCAATTATTAGTTCGAATTTAATTAGTTTACTATAATTTAGTTCGAACTTAATTAGTTTAATATAAAACATAACTTGTGATGTAAATAATAATTTTTATTAATTTTTGTTTCATAAATCAAATTTAACAATATTTTTGAAAATTTAGTTTATTCCACAATAATAATATAGCATAAACCATGTAGTACATTTAACATAAAACATGTATTTGAAAATTTAATTAATATATATTTAATATTAGTCTTGTTTCGATCGCCTCAATGAGACATTTAAAATGGTATAATTTATATTGAGTTAATACCCAAAATCGTCCTCGACTATAGTGGTTTTTCTCAATTTCGTCCTAAACGACTTTGGTGACCTAATATCGTCCCAGACTTTTGTGTTTCGCTCAATTTAGTCCTCCATTTGTTATTCCGTCAAATTGGTGTTAAATAAAGGGACAATTCAGTAATGTCAATATTGATCTCTCTTTACTTTCAACTTGTGAAGTGCGAAATTCCTCTTTCTTGTACGAATTACACCCAGAATTACTCCTGGGCCTGCAAATCAAATTTTATATTCGCAGTTTTAGGAGTAATTCTGGGGGTAATTCGTAAAAAAAAAGGATTTCGCAGTTCACATGTCTATGAGTAAAAGAGATGTCAATATTAAAATTACTGAATTGTCTATTTATTTAACACCAAATGGACAGAATAACAAATGAGGGACTAAATTGAGAAAAACACAAAAGTCTGGGACTAAATTGAGCGAAACACAAAAGTCTGGGACGATATTAGGTCACCAAAGTCGTTTAGGACGAAATTGAGAAAAACCATTATAGTCGAGGACGATTTTGGGTATTAACTCAATTTATATTTATTATTACAAACTTTAAATATAAGTATTTAACAAAATACAAAAAGTACATATAAAACAAATAAGGATACATTTGGAATTAGAAAAAGAAATAAGGGTATGAACGTAATTTTGTAGCCCCTCCCACATTTGCCGTTGATGAATAGTGCCGCACCACTGTTCATCAACGCCAAATATTTTGGTGTTTTGGCGCAGGGATGACGCTAGTTGGAGCTCAACAAAATGGTGGGATGGGATTTTGGCGTTGATTTTTGCAGATTTAGTGTCCCCCTTGGAGATGCTCTAAAGAGACATTGATTTTGATGTGTATATAGAAGAATGTTCAAGTGAGAACAAACCTTCTTAGTAAAAAGTACAGATTAATTGCATCCGTCCATTTGTGATAATCAAATGATGAAAATTACAGCAAAATACAATGACATTTATGTAATTATTACCGTGCGTTTAGAATCGCTTGATAGTGCATTTACAAATAAGTGATAGTGCACACAAGTGTGTGCACTATTATTTATCATGAGTGCACTATTACGCATTTATCAAAATTAAACACTTAATAATTACAAAAATGTCACAACAGTTTCTCCCCTTTCATACTTATTTTCCAACGTAATTGTTGCTCAACCTAGATAGATGTAATTAATCTACACATTTTTCTTTACAAGAAACTTATTCACATATGGTCATTCCCTTCTTTCATATGTGTGTGTGAGGGTTCAAGTGTGAACAATCTCTCAAGTAAAAAGTGATAACTGATATGATTCATCCATTTAGGTTGATCAATGGTTGAAAGTTAGGCTCCGTTTGGAAAGCAGTAAAATAACTTCTGAAAAATGTTTTCTAGAAAATGAGTCATTTTTTAGAAAATATTTTCCTTTTCTGTGTTTGGCTGCACAAAGAAAAATTGTCTTTATGTGTTTGGTTCATTTTCCGGAAAATGAATAGAATTGTATACTTCAACATTTTAATTCAATGATATTGCAAAAAAATGTAGAAACCAGTCGGCCAGACTGGTTTTCCAGAAGTTTCCGGCCAGGAAACCATTTTAAATGTCAGATCTGGATAAAATAGCCATCAAAAAAATATTTTACTATCCGAGAAAATTCTTTCTGGCGCAGTTGAAAAAATAAATTTGGAAAAAAATACTTCCTGGACTCCTTTTTGCTTGATTTTTTTTTTTTTGGAGAACCTACACTTATATAACTTGATATCCAAAAAAACATTTTGGTTGAAAATATGTTCCAGTAATCACAAAAAATTTCGTTAAATTCTTGGTAGTGTGCTGTCCAGAAAAATTATGTCTGACGCAATTTAAGGGAAAAATTCGAGAAAATTACTTCTATGCATTGGATTGATATGAAAATTTGTGTGTATGTTATAGACTTACTGAACTTCATATCTGGAAAAAATTGTATCAAAATTCATTACCAAATACTCCAAGAAAATTTCACAATCTAGATTTTTTTTTTTTTGAATTTTCTACCCAGTTTCTTTTATATATATATATATATATATATATATATATATATATATATATATATATATAATTTTATAAAAGCTAACTATAACCTAATAAGTAATAAACATAACCCTAGTTTAATGTTTTAAAATTCTAGACTATGGACTTTATAGTTATTGTTATGTATTATGTAATAATAATGCCTAATGTTTGATGAACTATGTCTTATGTTAGTTATGTAACAAGTTATTTTAATTATTTTTAGAGTGTACAAATAGTAAAAGTTAACAAAGTATCAAACTAACAACATAAGAGTTAAGAACCCAAAAAAAAAAGAAGAAGTGACGGGACCTGCGGGCTGGGTTAGTAAAATCTAAGCCCGCCAAGGAGCGGGCTTTTTTGACACGCCCCGCCAATCCGTATTGACAGTTCTAGGCGTGAGGAGGATTGAGGCATGAAGAGGGCGGGTGGGGGGGGGGGGGGGTGGAAAATGACTTCCCAAAAAAAAGGAAGTCATTTTTCCCTAAAACATATCTATTTTCCTTTGATTAAGACATCATTTTCCATTGACCTCATTTTCTCTCCTTTTGTCAAACACGAAAATCCCGGAAAATATTTTGCAGAAGTTATTTTCTGGGTTTCAACGCACCCTTACTGAAAAATAAGAGGAAAAAGGGCATGACAATATACACAAAAATATACCCGGCGAAGTCTTTCTCTCTCATCTTTTATACCTTTTTGGGTCACCATGCCTTCCTAATCTAACAAGATTTCGGCCAATCTAATTCCACCCCCACTTGGACCAAGATCTATCTAGTAAAATGGGCCCTGGGGCCATGTCCTCATCATGTATATATATGTGTATGTGTGTGTTCTAACCAATTAAGTTGCAACAAGTAAATTATTGTTGAGTATTGTAATGTCACTAGACGAACGAATTCAGCACGTTTGCAGTTCGGAGTTTTAAAAGAAAAAAAAAAAAAGCTAGTTGGGGTAGGGAGGATGGCCATTTAATCCGGTCCTATCCATTTATTAAACTTATATGCATGGAAAGTTGTGGCTCCAATAGTTTTTATAATAAAAGATGGAACAGCTCAACAGCACACTACCTTGAATACCAACAGCATATGGGGTCACTGTCGTTGTTTGTTCATGTCGGCGTAACACCTCGAAAGGTGAAAGGATATATCAAATTGAATCACGGCTCTCCAATTATAATCAACTTCTTAATATTTCATTGACATTAAAAGTAAGTTGAGCTGACAATTGAAAGCCATTTAATGTTTGTAGGAATTAATTGTAGTAATGGCGACACTTAATTGTTTGATCAGGTTTGAACCCAAACCCAAACCCAAACAATCCCTCACTCATGCCTTTGAAATGAGTGGAGGAGATAGATCGCTAAATGTGACTCAGCTAAGTTACAAACTTCTAAATATTTATGCATTAGTGCTTTTTGGTCATTGATAAGATTTGAATTATGGTTTGTTGGGTAATTTCTTGTTGGTATACCCCACAAATAATAAAAAGATTATTATTATATGAAAAATATAGGCAAATATTTGGAAAAGAAAGGATGAAAGATTCGGTTTAGAGGTTAGCACGAGTTTGAACGAAATTGTTCATTTCCTTAAAACCTTATTTGCTACCTTCAACGTTTGAGCACCCAAACTTTGAACCCAGCGAACTAGAGCAAAGTTTAGAACACAGTAGACTAAGAGAGGAGTAGAAGCAGATATTTTGAAGCTAGAAAACAATTGTCTATGTTCTATATTTCACTATATTTCATTCATTTCTGCAGATATGATGAAGGTGGCCGCGATTCTCTGGGTTATTTGGTTTTCATGGAATGAGGCAGTATGGGGGAACATCATTCCATCTTTGTCTTCCATGCAAAGCCATGTGGATGCTACATGTTTGTTGTGGATGCAGGCGTACGGTCAGGCTGGAGGTAGCAGAACTGGGTCTAATCCACCGGTCTGGAGTCCTCCCCCAGCGGGCTACCTAAAATGCAATGTTGATGCAGCTATCTTCACTAACGGTGCAGGAGTTGGTGTGGTTGTACGAAATGAGGAGGGTAAGTTCGTAGCTGCTTATGGTGCGAAGTTAAACTGTTTTAATGATCCTTTCATGGCGGAAACAATGGCGGTCAAGGAAGCTCTCAAATGGTTGAAGATCAATCACTTTAATAATGTTATTCTAGAAACTGATTGTTTAAATTTCTGCTCAGCTTTTAATTCTGTTGCTTTGAACCGTTCCTATGTTGGTTTGATTGTAAGGCAATGTCGAGTGCTTGCCTCAGACATTGGGAACTTCTGTGTTCGCCATGTCAACAGGTCAGTGAATCATTTAGCTCATGTCTTACCACGGGCTACGGATTCTATGTCTGGCTTAGGTTCGCGGTTCACTGTGCCACCAACCTGTATCTCATCTCTTATTGATGCTTAATGAAGTTTCATATTTTCCTTTCAAAAAAAATATTTCACTATGTTAAATTCTGCTGTAACTACTATTTCTTATATAGGAGAAGATGGTGAAATAGCATTTACTTACGCATTCAAACCCATGTTCAAAACCTTCAAAACAGATCATTGAATATGAGGATTAATGCTGTAATTCAAAATTGGAATTAATCTGAAATTAATTCCGTAACAGTTGAATTAATCCTCCCAACAGTCATTTGAACTGAACAGTCACGAACCGTTCTGAAAATGTACCGGCGGTACAGGTTCGTACCGTACCGGAAATGGACGTGTACCGCACACCGCCTTAAAAAAATTCAGTTTTGATTGTTGTTAACGGTGTTATGTTGTGCATAATTTGAATTATATAGTTCATTTATTCTGGATATATAGTTCATTCATTCTGGATATATAGTTCGTTCATTCTGAATATATAGTTCAAATTATGCACAACATAACGACGTTAACGGCAAACTGAATTATTATTTTTATTTAAGCCGGACGTCAAAACGACGTCGTTTTTGCAACTTTGTGTATCATGCATGGTGCACACGGTTGCACAGCATAATTTGCCCTAAAATTGAAATAAGGAATAAGATTTGGAAGTATATGTAGTAGAACTCTTTGACGTTATTTGGTACAGTAGTAGCCACTGATTGCGTTGCTATGACAAATGTTACATTGTACGATCAATTATACAAAGGAAAATATTTGGTGTACTCTCATTTTATACTCCTAACTTGTACTCTCTCTCACATGTTCTTGATGTAGACACTTTTCTGTGGACCCACATGTTGAAAATAACCAATCCTGGCTTGCCACATCAGAGAGTACAAATGAGGGAGTAGAATTTGGGAGTTCATGTAGTAGAATTCTTATACAAAGGCTATATTGTTGCCTTGTTGGATGCTGGGTGGCTAGGCGTTAGGTTGCCGCCTTGCCGGGGAGGATGAGAGTGGCTGCGCTGCAGCTATAAGCTACTACTTCCGTTTTTTATGTGTCTGGTTCAGTTAACAAGGCTTGACTGAAGATATTTTTAATCCAATTTTTTATAATATTAAGTTTAGTATTAGTATACAAAATTTATATATTTAGAAAATACACTAAAAGTACTATTAAACATAAAAAATTAAATTTAAAAATAAGTAAAAAATAATAAAGAAAATAAACAAAGAAGAAATAGTTGATTTGATCCATGTATAGTAATTAAGTAAGACAGATAAAATGGGACAGAGGAGTATAAGCTAAGCTATAGACATAGAGAATTAGGTGAATGTTTTTAAGGTTTAATTTGTAGTCACCCACTTAATTTATTATTCTATTAGATATTTTACTTCTTTAATAAACAAGACAAATTATACAAAATATAGTAAATGTTTATTTTTAATATATTGAAGGTATACAATATATGGTACCTTAAAAAAAAGCATTCAATATATTAAAAATGTACTTTATGTCAACTCGCATCTAAAATCCCAACTCGCCCCATCTTTATTATGTGGTAACAAATTATTGTATAAGATACACAATTTACATACTAAACGTTCGCAATTTACCTTTTAAAAGTTCACAAATCACAATTTGTAATTACCCTATATTGTATTCACTAATTCCCAAAACTTAAAAACACAATTTATATGGGAAAATGGCACTTTTTCCCCCTTTGTTATATACTTATAGCACTTTTTCTCCCTAAATTATTTAAGTGGCAGTTTTCCCCCCCTGATATATTAAATGGACATATTTACCCTTAAAATAAATATTTCATTTATTTTTCTTCTCCACCAAATTATAACCACGATTTGAAAAAAATAAAATACATTAAGTGTTGAATTTATAATATTTTAAAAATAAAAAAATAAAATTTTAAAAGAAAGTTTGAACCAACCGTTCAAATTAGATCCAAAATCGTGAACCGACGGTTCAAAATAAAATTCAAATCGCGATTATATATACTTATATGTAAGAGTCAATATAAATGCGGAAAAAAAACATACACTATTTGCAAATATTATAATTCTAATTTAAGCTATTGCTAGTAGTTTTTCCGATTTGAACCTCCGGTTCACGGTTCAGGATCCATTTTTTTCCAGTTCACGATTTTAATAAACGGAAACCCAAGTATTAGGTTATGTTATGAATCATAAGTTTATAACCGAAGTTTTTTAATTTGATTGCTATAGTGTTTGGTTCAGTTCGAACCGAACCGTGGTCATCCCTACGTATAAGCAATAATTTGTTGAAGAAGATAAATAAATAAAATATTTGTTTTAAGGGTAGAAATGTCCATTTAATATTATCAGGGGGAAAAATCGCCACTTCTATAATAATTGAGAGGGCAAATGTGAATGCATGAATAACTCAGGAGGAAAAAGTGCTATAAGCATATAACACAGGAGGAAAAAGTGTTATTTTCCCCAATTTATATTTTAAAAGTTCACAATTTCAATACTAAAAAAAATGCAAACCTCTCGAGCATGCAAAACATTCCCCTGCAATGACGAAATAAATCATCACTTGTGTTTACTGATAATGTATGTTGTATTTACTCAAAACTTGAAATGCAAATCTCATGGTCATTGAAGACACACTCCTTATATATGTATTTCAATTGTACATAATCTGTGTATTTTCCAAACTATGTGAAGCATATGATTTGATATGAACTTAAACTCCTTTTATAAGTGATAAGTTAAAGGGTATTGATATCGTATTTAATGCTAAGTTATGGGATACCAAAGAGACATGATCTTTAACAGGTAAGTAACAATAATGTTTATATGAAATCAAATGATCTGGATCGTAATTCGAATCGGCTCTATTACTATATAGCTCTTAAATGCATCCGGCTAAATTCTTCCGACCAATACGCCGTCATTTTTATTGGGCGATCTGAAAAATTTATTCCTAATTTTTTTCTTCAAAATATCTGACTTTTTTATATATAAGATTTCATCTTGATTTAACCCGTCTCACAAACAAAGATTGATGAGACGGTCTCATCCAAATTTTTACCGTTTTAAAGTGTTAACATATTGCATGAATATTGATAGCTTTGGAGTCGTTACACCAATAATGTGTACTTTTCCGTTATCCACATCAGCAGCTAGTACCAGTACGTTTCTAGTTTCTACAATATACTGAGGAGTTTTACTATATAGATTCCCAAAATTCTACTCTCTCATTTATATTCTTTGAGGTGACAAATCAGAATTGATTATTTTCATCATGTGGATCTACAGAAAAATATTTACATCAAGTGCATGTGAGAGGAGTACAAGTTAGACGTTTAAAATGAGAGTACACCAAGTATTTTCTTATACTGAAAGTAGTGTACGTGATAAATGTGTGAATGTAAGTAAGACAAATCCCACACAACTCCCAAATTGGCCACATGTATTTCATGTGTTCTCCTCTCCCCCTGCCCCTACCCCCACCCTACCCTACCCACCCCCATCCCCAGGGTCACTCTCTTAGCTAGTCAGCAACTCAGCCGGCCCATCCTCAACCTCCATTTCCCACACCCCTACCTGCATGCTTTAAATATATAGACATATATGATATATATCTCTCCCTAGCAAATTCAAGACCCAACTAACCACCCAATAGTCACCATCGATCGTACTTGATTTTAGCGACGACGACGACGTAAATCCGTTGGTTCCGACATGAACTGCCCGCGAGATTGGCCCGAGCCAATCGTCCGCGTCCAATCGCTGTCCGACAGCGGTCTGGGCACCATCCCCGACAGGTACGTCAAGCCGCCAACAGACCGGCCGTCGTTAACCGCCGCCGCCGCCGCCGACGTCAACATCCCGTTAATCGACTTCCAGCAGTTTCTCGACGGCGACGGCGACGTAAACCCCGCCGTCCTGGAGCAGGTCTCCGAGGCTTGCCGGAGCTGGGGGTTTTTCCAGGTGGTGAACCACGGAGTCCGGCCGGAGTTGATGGACCAAGCCAGGGAGGTCTGGCGCGAATTCTTCCACCAACCCATGGATGTGAAAACCGCGTACGCTAATTCTCCGACCACTTACGAGGGTTACGGCAGCCGGTTGGGCGTCGAGAAAGGCGCCATTCTTGATTGGAGTGATTACTATTTCCTTCACTATCTCCCTTCTTCTTTGAAGGACCATAACAAATGGCCCGCCTTTCCATCTTCTTTAAGGTACCCAAAATTTTTACACAATCCAAAATTGTTAATAATTTACTAATTTTAGTACTGTTTTATCAAAATCAATTGTTTATTTATTAGGGAAGTGATTGAAGAATACTCTGACCAAGTGGTAAAATTGTGCGGGAAATTAATGAAGATTTTGTCGATTAACCTCGGACTACACGAAAGTTGTCTGCAAAAGGCGTTTGGAGGGGAAGACATTGGAGCTTGTTTAAGAATAAATTTTTACCCAAAATGTCCCCAACCGGACCTCACCCTCGGACTCTCCTCTCATTCCGACCCCGGCGGCTTGACCATCCTCTTGCCGGACCAGCACGTCGCCGGCCTCCAAGTCCGCCGGAACGACCAGTGGATCACCGTTAAACCGGCCCAGCATGCTTTCATCGTCAATATTGGGGATCAAATTCAGGTAACTTTCAACTTTTTGCTTTGATAGATTTTTTATTAGTGTTTTTTTTTTCTTTTTTCTTGGAGTTACTTGCTTGCTATGGACAAAACATGATCACATGGTGGGCTTAATTACGTTTTGATATAAAATATAAATGGCCACTCCCTATTTAAAAATTATTTAACATTAAAATATAAAATAAAGAAACAAACATTGTAAACGTGCGTATATTTATCTTGTACAAAACGTCAAAATACGTAGAATATATGGAACGTAATTAGATTATATGACAATTTCATTCTTTTTTTTTTTTTTTTTTTTTTTTTTTAATGATAAGGGAAACTTACAGTTATTATCGTGTGCACTAGGTAAATTTTACCTTATGACCCTAACTAGTAAATGCCCACAATAAGATAAAAAAATAAAATCATTTTTCTTGCCCGTCGAAAAATAGCATATAATAACAATATATATGATTTTCAAATATATATATAAGAATTCCCTTATAATTATTATATTATTATAATTATATAATATTGTCATGTCGATGTCTGATAGCTACATAGTTTCCAGCTGCATTCATTTAATAGAGACTTTACTATAAAAAAAAAAAAAAAAAAAAAAAAAAAAAAAAACCAGAAATAAAAATAATAAAAAGTGTTGCTTGTGCATTGTCTTGTCGATTTTCCAGAAAGATTTAAGTATCAAGTTGCAAATTTTGAAAATTGTCCCATCACGTGAAGTAGTGTCACAAGAAAATTCGTCCACGGAATTCACACACAAACGAACGAGTTTCGATCACTACGAACGCATATTTAAGTAGCAATGATAAGAGAAAGTCATAATTATTAATTAAATGTGTGCATTATATAAATATATTTTTGTACAATAGCTTATAAATTACACATAAAAGGTAAATCATATTAAGAAAACGTTATGATCTTTTAGTATGAGAATCGTGTTCCATTCACTCAATCATTATTATATGTTATGCATCAAAAATAATCAACAATAAAGTTGGTGTATACTAAATTATTATGATTTGTAATTATATTTCCTAAATAGTGACATATGAACAACTTTCTAGCGTGATTACCTCTCTTGTATGATTTGTAAGTTATAACACAAGATCATGATTTATTCTACACACACTCTCAAATAACGACTATGAATTTCCTTAACACCAAAAAAAAAAAAAAATCTTAAAAAAATATAAGAAAACGTTGTTTCTAAATCACATAATTTTCTTAATGTATATCATTTCATTCACACAATTCGAACCCAAAACCTAGCTTACTTAATAGTTAATAGTAATAGTATTCTTTATATTCGGTCAAGGGACACACGTGCGTGTGGCTTTGGGGGGGGGGGGTGTTGGGTGGGGGTGGGGGGGTTAAGGCTATATATACACGTACCTATATTTGCTTGACACTCAACAAATGAGGTGTATTTAACTATCTTTTGGAGCATGAAGCAACATGGCGTAGTCAAATGAAAGAACTATAGAGGGAAAATTAAAAGGAAATTTTTTAAGGAAAAATTTTTGCTTTTGGTTCCGTAATTATTGTACATGTATCAAATTTGATTCTTCACTATTAATATTTTCAAATTAGGTACATGACTATGTAATTAGCAGTACGTATCGATTATACGCTAATTAGGTTGGGTACGTGTTCTTCTAAGATTGGTTACTTGCTCCATTTAAGATAAAAATTATTTAAGGTTATATTAGTTATGTTTGTGTATATTTTTTTTTTAGTACTACGGGCTCTGTTACAATGCAGTATCTATTTCATAACTATGTTTTTAACCTACTGAAGCACAAAAAGTCAATACTGCCCCCACTATTATGTTCGTGTACTTAATTATAAACTTAATATATTTATGTAGGTACTAAGCAATGCAGTGTACAAAAGCGTTGAGCACAGAGTGATTGTTAACTCAAATGAAGAGCGTGTATCCTTGGCATATTTTTACAATCCAAGGGGAGAGTTACTTGTACAACCAATGAAGGAGCTCATCACACCGGAAAATCCACCATTATATCCGGCGATGACGTTTAACGAGTATAGACTTTACATAAGGACGAAGGGTCCTAGGGGAAAATCACAGATAGGGCAGTCTACAAAATCGCCAAGATAATACACATAAGTATATATACTTAGTGTCATTAATTAGCGTTAAATAATTATTATGTATTGCTCAATGCTCATTCCAATTGATTGTAAATCTTGTAGCCTTATATATATGTATAAACAAAAATAATAATAATTAAATGAAAAATAAAAGTAGAAAAATCAAATTTTGGATGGCAGTGTTCAATTTGGCCTGGTAATGTCTTTTGAAATGTCCAAGTACATCTATAAATCAAAGAATGTTCTTTTTACAATGGAGATGCATGAATTCAAATCATTAATTATATAATGGACCAATGTTCATGATATCTATTCTGGGGTAGAGTACGTCTATTATGCACATTTTAAATCATAATTTAAATTATGTACTTATAATTAATATACTATGTACATTCGATTTATTTACCTACAATATATATATATATATACCTTCAACATGTATATAATCTATTAATTGTAAATATATAATTTAGATCAGGGTGGCAGGGTCCACGATATTATTTGTACATGAATTAAATTTGTAACATTCTTTTATAAATATAAAATAAAAAAAATGAATCATTAAACTTAATGCATATATCAATGATTAATCAATTAGTCATTACTTTTTAAATAATTAAAGAGTAACAGCATGTTTGGATCAGGGAATGAATTTTGATTGAATAAGAATGATATTCCCTATGGAATGAAATAGACAAAGAAAATAACAATTGTATTTTATATTATTATTTGATTCCATGAAAGAATAGACTTTAGGAATGCTATTCTAGTATTTGGTTAGTTTAAGGAATAGATATGGAATATGATTTTAAAAGATATGAAAATCCAATAATAATAATAATAATAATAATAATAATAATAATAATATTATTATTATTATTATTATTATTATTATTGTTGTTGTTGTTGTTGTTGTTGTTGTTGTTGTTGTTGTTGTTGTTGTTACATAAGATTTTTGAATAATATTATTTTATAACAACTACAGTAGTAAAAGAAAATACTGACGTGTAAGTTGTTCACAAACAAAATATTCATATTCTAATTACACAAACTTTAATTTACATTCACCTCATATGGACTATTTGTTAAAATCTAGTTTTGCTTGTGTGTGTTGGATCAAATGTGAACGTGTTCTTAGGAAAAAGCTAATAATCAATCTCACTCTTGGATCAAATTCGATTTAAAAAAATGTGATGGTATTTTTGTAATTATCATCAAGTTTATTATGCAAACTTGAACACTAAAAAATCGATCTGCATTTCTCATAATTTTTTTAGGTTTGCACATTTAGTATTAAAATATTGCACTTGCAAAAATGCGAAAGTGCATTTCACTTAGGGTTTGGATTTTAGAGTTTATGCTGAGTTTTTGTTTTATTTGATTTTATTTGGTTTAGAGGTTCACTTTTTACTGCTTAGGGTCTAGCATTTGCGGTTTAGATTTAGAATTTAGCCTTTTCATGGTCTTTTTAAAATTTATCCAAGATTGCATATTTAATATTTACAGAATGCATATTTAAGTGTTCAAGTTTGTAAAGTGAAGTTGACGATAATTACAAAAATATCATTGCATTTTGTTTTTTTAAATCTGATTTGATCCGTTCGATTTTTATAGATGTAAAACTGAGATTGGTTCTTGTGAAGGTTGAAGAGCTTAACCTGAAAGAGATGCAATTAGTGTCGTACTAGTGATAAAAAGGTGTTTTGATAGGGATAAATAAAAAATTTAATGCTAAACAACTAATGAATTTAGGTCATTCTTGAGAACTCAGGAATAGCCTAATACCAGGGGTGGCCTTAGAATCACTATTCTCCTTGCAAGGGGATAACTCATTCTCGAAAAAAAAAATGTTATAGAACTATATCCACATTAAGTTTATAAACATTAAACACATAAACACATCGCTAATTTGCCTAATTTTATATATATATATATATATATATATATATATATATATATATATATATATATTCAAATTGAGGGGCTCTTTGTGCCAATAAACAAAGGTCTAACCTTTGTATTCAACTGAGCTATCATGATTTACACCCTCATAGATATTATGTCAGTCAAGGCGTGAAGGACCCTTGAGGGTGGGGATTCAACCTTTGAGTAACAATAAAACATATACCCAAACAATGAGAATTCCTTCTTTGAATTGTGATACTAAAATAGAATATGATTCTTTCATGAAAAAAAAAACACTAATTAATAATTCTCATCACAAAAATAATTTATTGTTATTATTATAAAATATATATAATCACTAGGGTGAATAAACATTTTATATATACTAAATACCATTCCCATTGAATATTAAAATAAAAAATAAAAATTTAGTGGGAAGTTGATTATTCATTTTTGAAAAAGCATGCATTTGATTAAGGTGACAGGCGCCATGCCTTCATTATTAGATTCTTATCATATATAAAATTATGTCTAATATTATTAAATCATGCTAGATAGCTAGGGGATGCTGCTATAATTTTATTATCATTTAATAATTCCTTAAAGTCAAATGTTACGTTCTCACTGACAAGTGCCAATCCTAAAATTGTATACATTTAATTCCCAAATCAAACATCACATGTTAGAATAACAATGAGTGTGAGATGTGAATCAGATACTAGTGTCTTTTGTATCAGATAAAATCACATATTTTTTTATTTAATTATGGGGGTGCTATCTATTGGGGTCTTTTGTAACATGTACAATCATATATCTGTGATTGCGTTTTGAGGTGTCAATCACATACTAGTGTTTTTTGTAGAAGGTACAATCACATATGCAGTGAAACTTGTCTTAGCTTGTAACTCTAGTCGTCAAAGAATCATAAAAAGGTAAATTAGCCTAGCTAGGTTGTCTATAACTGAACGGCTCACACCACGAAGGTTAATCTCTTATCAGAGATTAAATTTAAAAGCTTATTAATTTTGAACCAATAGTACACCCAATTTGACTGAACTTGCCTACAACAATAATCATATATATATTTTATTACCTACCACAATTATTGTTATAACAAGTGTATAAATAGTTTGTGCTTTATACATGATTATATCTAGTATAACCACATATATTTTCTGTATAAATAAATAATCGTAATTTAATAATAATATCTTTCACTAAGAAAAGATAATGGCTTTTAATTTGTTTGTGCTTTTATGTATTTATTAAATTAGTTTTCAGACATGAAAAGTACGTATTCAACGACCCAATAATTAATCTTAGCAACTTTGGAATTTGGTTCTTCAAATTATCCATATATTTAAATTTTATATGATTGAGAATGACTTGATCCCAAATAGTCCTAAGTATGATTTGTTAGGGATTTGGATTTGGTCCGATCCGGATGAGATTGAATGTTTCCTATGAAACAAAAATATGATGTGTTATTTTCTCCGTCCCCTTCTTTTAGATGACAAGAAGAAATAATTTCAGTCACTATTTAATTTAAAGATGTGTATTGTATAAACCTTAATTCATAAATCACGTACACATGCAAAGTATATCGTATTAAAAAAAGAAAATTAAGTGTAACAGACTCAACTGAAAAAATGTTGGCACAATTTGAACTTGAGATATTCTAATACGAGAATCATGTTTTATAAATTTAATCATTCATTTTAAAACGTGTTATTTTCTCTCTTATCTTTATGGGTGATTAATTGCCTTCAACTCTTCAAGTGCATAAATTATCATTATGTGCAATAATATAATTAAGGGTGAAATGTATTTTTAATTAACCTTCAACTTTTGGCTACTAATAAATTTGGTATACTTCATTATCACGATGATGCAAACATTATATCACCTTATGTTATTTCACATCATTGTGAAAGTGATTCTTTGATGCTATTATATATAGGTCTTTTAATATCTAGGCCTACTGATGAGGATATAATATTTCTGAATGATCAAATAATAAGTCTGTACAGGAATATATATAGTAGCGAATAGTAAACCTAATACAAGACGAATACTAGTAACAATAGATAACAAATACTAATGATAATAGAGTCCTAATACTCCCCCTCAAGCACAAGGTGGACCAGCAACAACATTGAGCTTGCCACACAGAGTGGAGAAACGTGGACCGGGGAGAGCTTTAGTGAACACATCAGCCAGCTGATCCTTTGTAGAAATGAAACTAACTTGCAACTCCTTCTTTGCCACTTTGTCACGAACAAAGTGATAGTCAATTTCCACATGTTTCGTACGAGCATGGAACACCGGGTTGGAACAGAGATAGGTTGCACCCAGATTATCACACCAGAGAGTGGGAGGAGCTGACAACGGCAACCGAAGTTCGTGCAACAGAGAAACCAACCAGGTGACCTCAGCAGACACGTCAGCCAGTGCCTTGTACTCAGCCTCTGTAGACGAACGAGCAACCGTACGTTGCTTCCGGCAGGACCAAGAAATCAGATTGCCACCAAGAAATACTGCAAAGCCGCTAGTAGACTTTCTGTCAGCCGGATCACCAGCCCAGTCCGAATCCGAAAAAGCATGAACCGCAACAGAGGAGGACGAGCGAATAAAAAGACCAAAATGCAAAGTTCCTTTAACGTACCGTAGAACACGTTTGAGCATTGCCCAATGCTCAATAGTCGGAGAGTGCATATGCTGACAGACCCGATTCACAGCAAAAGATAAATCCGGGCGAGTGACAGTAAGATACTGCAGAGCCCCAGCAAGACTGCGATACTGCGTGAGATCGGCATAGGGAACCACAGATTCAGAAACGGGTCGAGTCACAGGCACCGGAGTAGCCAACGGTTTACAGTCCACCATACCTGCACGACTCAATATATCTCGCATGTATCGCTGTTGAGAAAGAAACAAACCACCATCACGGGAGACTGTCTCAATGCCCAGAAAAAAAGACGGAGCACCCATGTCACGAATCTTGAACTCCGAGGCTAAGTCAGTCAGAAGCCGAGTAACACGCGAAGCATCAGATCCCATAACAAGGATATCATCAACATATACAAGCACATATAAAGATACAGAGTCACGAGTGTATATGAATAAAGAAACGTCAGTCTTGGAAGGTGAAAAACCAACTGACGCCAAGAAAGCATGTAACCTGTTAAACCATGCGCGAGGAGCCTGCTTAAGACCATAGAGCGACCTCTGTAATAAGCACACATCATCCGGCCGTGACGGGTCCTCATAGCCAGGCGGCTGTCGCATGTAGACTGTCTCGGCAAGAGTACCATTAAGAAAGGCGTTGTGAACATCCAACTGCCGAATTACCCAACCGCGAGAGACGGCCAAGGAGAGGAGAAGTCGCACGGTTGTGGGTTTTACAACGGGACTGAAAGTCTCAAAAAAATCCCGTCCTGCGACTTGATTGAACCCCTTAGCCACCAACCGAGCCTTGTGCCGCTCAATTGTGCCATCAGCCTTGCGCTTCGTCCTGAACACCCATTTGCACCCCACAACATTCATGCCAGGCGTGCGACTAACCAGACGCCAAGTGTGATTCTGAAGCAAGGCATTAAACTCAAGATCCATGGCCTCACGCCATTCCGGATACCGAACTGCCTGAGAATAACAAGTCGGCTCAGAGACAGTCAGTAGTGCCACATGTTGCGCCGGTCCCAAAGAACGAGTTGCCATAACATGAGACCGAGGCGGAACCAGTTTCACCGTGCGGCGACCTCGCTTGGACGCCTTAGGGGCACCCGGGACTGCCACATCCGGAGCCACGGCAGTCTCGGTGCGGGAATCAGAAGCAGCACCAGCAGCCCCGGAATCCGTGTCCATGTCCGGACGAGGATCCGGCCCAGCAGGGCAAACACCGGAGCTCGCGCCAACCTGAACGGCGCCAACACCCCACGGCTCAACCGGGCGAGAGCGAGAGACCTGAGAAGGTACAGAAGAAGCAAACGGAAAAAACGGTTTCATCAAACCGCACATGGCGGCAAATGAATACCTTGTTAGTAGCAAGATCAAAACAACGATAGCCACGAAACGAAGGCGGATAACCAAGAAACACACACGGAGAAGACCGATACTGTAACTTGTTACGATTATACGGGCGCAACAGAGGATAACAGAGACAGCCAAACACACGCAAGAAAGAATACGAAGGACTAGAGCGATGCAAACGATAATGAGGACTATCATTATCCAAAACGCGAGTTGGCATCTTATTAATGAGATAGACCGCAGTCTCAAAGGCATAATCCCAATATCGTTGTGGAACCGAAGCCTGGGCCAAGAGGGCCAAACCCGTTTCCACAACGTGACGATGCCGACGCTCAACTCTACCATTCTGCTCATGGGTATAGGCACAAGATTGCCTATGATTAATACCCAAAGAGACAAAAGTACGGTGCAACCGTTTATACTCTCCCCCTAAATCAGATTGAATAGAGACAATCTTACGACCATATGAACGCTCAACTAGTGACCGAAACTGCTCGAAAATAGCATACACATCAGTTTTCAAACGCATAGGATAAAACCATACATAGCGTGTGTAGTCATCAACAAACAAAACAAAATAACGAAAGCCATTGACAGAAAGAAAAGGTGCTGGGCCCCAAATATCAGTATATATAAGCTCTAAAACATGCGACGTAGTAGTATTGACACGAGGCAAGGGAAACCGTGAGGATTTCCCAAGCATACAAGCACGACACAACTCCGAACTATCACTAAAACTAGACTGAATAGAACACGAATTTAATATCTGCCGCAAGACACGCGGATGAGGGTGACCCAACCGACCATGCCACACCTCAGAGGAGACACGAGAGGCCACAAACGCAGCGGGACTTGAACGAGAGACAGGCCAAGAATAGAGACCTCCCGAAGCCGGTCCTCTATACAGAATTTCCCTGGTTGAACGATCCTTCACAAAGAAACAATCAGGGTGAAACTCAAAAAAGACATTATTATCACGAGCAAACCGTTGCACAGACAATAAAGACGCAGAGAGCCCAGGAACATAAAGAACATCAGACAACCGAAGCAGTGTTTTAGAAGCGGCTACCGAAGATGAACCAGTACTAACAATAGGTAAACACTTACCGTCACCAACCCGAAGATGATCCGGACCATTATAGGAGACCGCCGAGGACATCAAAGATGGATCCGGAGTGGCATGATTCGATGCACCAGTGTCAGGAAACCACTGCTGAGTATTAACCGAAGCCGTATCATCACCGGAATATGCAACGTGCGCCCGCGGCCCCGGGGCGCCATCATACCGGCGATAGCACGAAGCGGCCGAGTGACCTTCGCCGGAACAAATCTGGCACTGGACAGCCCCGGCGCCACCACGACCGCGACCTTGACCTTTGCCGCGACCGCGGCCTCGGTTGCCGCTGCCACGCTGCTGCCCGCCCGAGCGACCTCCACCTCGCTGAGCCGCCATGGCGACCGGAGCAGCATCAACGTCACCACCATCATCAACACATATAAAAGCCTGCGAAACAAGAAAATCGGATAACTCGGGTAGAGACACCGGAGCACCCCTCGTTAGCGACGCCACCAAAGGGCGATATTCGGACCGCAAGCCCCGGAATATGTACATATTCTGATCTTCCAGCGTCACTGGGCGTCCGGCAAGTGCCAAGTCCTCAATAAGCACCTGAGCACGACCAAGATAATCCGGGATCGAAGCATCCCCCTGCCGCAATCCTTGCAACTCGCCCACCAACCGAAGGGCACGGGCCCGGGTCGTCGAACCGAGAACCTGCTCGATCGCCACCCACAAGTGCCGAGAAGAGGTTTTACCGATGGCGAGATGCATCATCTCGTCGGACAAGGACGAGATCAACAAGGAGAGCACGGCCTTATCTTGACGAAGCCATGCACTCCGAGCGGCGGACGACAAAGCCGACGAGGTCACGGCGGCAGCATCCCCCTCGGCAGGCGGTACAGTAAGGGCAGTAAACGGATGGCACACGGACGTTCCATCGACAAAACCCAACAACCCTTGGCCATCCAGGAACGGAAGAAGCTGAGTACGCCAGAATAAAAAATTGCGGGATGTCAACTTGATGGAAACGAAGTGATGAGCCGAAGAAAACGACACCCCGGACTGCAGGGGTGCCACAAGCGCGGCCTCAGAAACAGTCCGTTCAGAACTTCCAACAGAACCGCCATCAGAACCGAGGTGCGCCATAGAGAGAGAAAAAAACCTGCTGATACCAGATGAGGATATAATATTTCTGAATGATCAAATAATAAGTCTGTACAGGAATATATATAGTAGCGAATAGTAAACCTAATACAAGACGAATACTAGTAACAATAGATAACAAATACTAATGATAATAGAGTCCTAATACTACTAACATGAAACCTGCAATTCATATCGTGGATCAGGATCCACATATATAGGCACATAGCAGTGTGGACTCTGGATCAAAACGATATCGTTTTGATATTTAAACTTTAACAGATTCTGTAGTTTTTCGTTTATCATGTTTTAACATAAATTTTAAATTATTCTAGGTACAGAATCAATACTCATACAGAATTTCATAATACATGACACAAAAACTCACAACACGAGACACATACACATGTTATATATTTACTTATTCTCAAATCTGATTTATGTAGATAATATATGTCATGTAACACATAATTTCATAATATAAGACATAAATTCGTAAAATAAGATAAACAATATGTTGTGTGTTACACAACTACTAATCTATTTTAGGTATAGAACTCATATGCTTAAGGTACATAATTGCATAACACGAGACCCATACACATGTTTTATATATATTTTCTTTAGTTCAAGTACATAATTAATATTTTTTAAGTACAGAATTACATAACATAAGACACAAAAACGCATAGCACAATACATAAAAACGCATGTTATATTTACTTTATTTCATGTACAGAATTGCATAACATGAGACACAAAAATACATAACACAAGATACATATATACACATGCTTTACAATTTAAAAAAAAAAAAAAAAAAAAAAAAAAAAAAAAAAAAAAAAAAAAACTTGTAACGTGAAGTGAACAACAAACGTCGCCGTCAAAATTAAAATTCAAAACGACATCGTATAGGACCAACGTCTACGGTATAACGATTGCATGAAACCTTGTAAGGAATTGAACCAGTATTGTAACAACTAAGAAACGAATTTGGTAGCTATGTAAAAAAGTTAAGGGGATATTTAGTTCAAGTTATATAAAATAACTAAGGTTATATTTGCATGGGAATATAAGATTCCAATGTTTGGTTCAAAGTTATATATATATATATATATATATATATATATATATATATATATATATATGGCTTGAGAACCATAAAAACAAGGCTCTGTGAAAACTGAGAAGCGTAGACAAATACTAGTCCTTATATTGATCTAGCATATTACAATTTTTTAAAGGAAAAAATGAAGGGCCGTTTATAAATATTACAAAATTTGAAAGTTTGTAATATTTACAAAATTGGTCTCTATCTTTTTTCTTTTATTATTTCTTATTTTCTAGCTATTAATCTTATATGAACGGATTAAATTAGTTAACATGGATGTGTGTGCTCTGCGCATGTATACATTTAAACAAAAATCTATTTATAAATTTTTGTTCAATATTCAACAACGTAACAACAATTATATAATTTATAAAATAAAATTTAGACGTGAGATCGATTTATTGTTAGTAATGCAAAGTCATTGTATTGTCATGCATCTTTAATTCTTTTGTATTTTTTTTTTAAGACTAACTTTCATTCACAAAATAACGAGTGTTTAGAATTTGTCTGAAAATATGCCATTTTGTTCTCTTGACCTATATATTATTCGAAAAGAATAATAATATAAGAAAGATCGAATGGGAGAGATACACACGAAGATGTATATTTCTCTCATCTCTTCTATCTCATTCATTTTCTATGCACTTGTTCGAGTGACAATGAAATCATTTTTAGAATAATAATTATTTCACAATATAACATTAATGTACAATTTCATTGGCCTTCAACATTTTTGTCTACCGCCATAATTTGTCTAATGCTTATCATATTTTTAGTACATCTAATGAAAAGATGGAGAATATATGCATTATTTAAGTATCAATAAATAAAAGTTTATGGGTGTTCATGTACCTCGACACCTCGTGTTGTTATCACAGATAGCTAGTTTGGGGTCTTTCCTCCAGTCAAATAATAATAATAATAATAATAATAATAATAATAATAATAATAATAATAACAACAACAACAACAATAATAACAACAACAACAACAACAACAACAACAACAACAATAATAATAATAATAATAATAATAATAATAATAATAATAATAATAATAATAATAATAATAATAATAAAAGTTGAGCAAGAAATATTGTCCTTATCTTATCCAATAAAGCATACCATGTGGGAAATAGATCCACTATAGCACGAGCATAGAATTTTCTTTTTGTTGATAGAATTGAATATTTAGGATGTTTAAATTCAACTGAGAAATTATATCACATTATTATTATTGTGCATGAAGTGCCTAAAAATGTAAATTGCGTCCCCCATTGGCTTTGCAATCAGTGGTCTAAAATGCCGAAAACAGTTCAAATATACTACGGAGTAACTTTTTAGGATTGATGAGTTAAATTCTATATTTTGGTCAAATACATAAACAACCATTGAAGGTGGACATTGTCCTTGTCTACCTGTTATGCTTTATCATCATAATTTGAAATACAAAGTATATGATGAATCAGATCTTATATAAATATATGTCTATGTGTTGTGTTTTATCATCTCATCCATCCAAATCTATAATTACTTTTAACCTTGTAATATTTATAAAACTAACCCTTTCATTTTCTCATTATTTTTCAACAACTTTCAACCATTAATATAACCAAATGGATGAATCAAATTAATCCTCACTCTTTAAATGCGAGCCTATAAGATGCGTGATTTTCCTTCTTAAGGTGTGTGATTTTCCTTCTTAAGGTGCGTGGTTTTTGTGCTCTGTGCTTAAGGCACGTTAGTTGTTAAAACTTAAGGTGCGTCGGTCTAAAGCTTTTTGTGCGTGATTTTAATTCTTAAGGTGCGTGGTCTGTGTGCTTAAAGTGCGTCAATTGTAGAAACTTAAGGTGCATCAGCCTAAAGCTTTAGGTGCATTGTTTTCCTTCTTAAGGTGTGTCTGCTTAAAACTTTAGGTGCGTAGTTTTTCTTCTTTAAGGTGCATTGTTTTCCTTCTTAAAGTGCATTGTTTACCTTTTTAAGGTGCGCCATTTTTACAGTTTGCTTCTTGAATTGAAGACGTTTTTTTTTTTTTTTTAAATTTTCAGCACCTGAACCTCTCTCTCTCTCTCTCTCTCAATATATATATATATATATATATATATATATAAACATGGTACATGCCAGAGAGCAGAGAGGAAGCAACATTTTCACAACTAGAAATGGTCATATGCACAATACTTAAAACTGAATCAGTTTAAAACTAAGATAGCAACTTACAAGAACAGAGGATAAGTTATAAAAAAGAATATTGTTAACTAACAACTAAAGGTCAGTTGCATGGGTATCAAAGCCACTACAGCTAAATTCTCTTAGTTCTGCAAAATGGGGGGCATTTGTATTTTCGGAAACCACTGCAGATGGATATCGCAGCAAACTAAGAACTCCTTGTCATTGCAATGTACTGGGCAGATCCACAAGCTTTGCTGTCTCTTTTGTGTCGTTGCATTTCCCTTTTACCTTTTTCCCTTTCATCTTTATGCTCTCTATGAGTCTTGCATTCTTGCAATTGTCGTTCCCCTTCCGTTGCTGCAAAAACCACATCTGTATTCCTTCATTCTTTTGGCCTTGGCTGGTGTAACTTTGACACACTTGCCATGAAACCAACCCTTACATAAGTCACAGACAATCCAGAACTCATTAGCATTGTAATTTTCTGCACACGTTCCACAAATAGTATTGCTTTTATCAGCCTTGTCTTTATCATTCTCCTCTCCATGGCTCTCTTTCACCGTTGCATTTCCCTTTTCTGTTTTATTTTTGCAAGAGGGGCATTTGTAGTTTTTGATACATTCAGCCTTGGCTGGTGTAAGTTTCACACACTTGCCATGGAATCTTCCCTCGCAAAAGTCACAGTGCATCCAGAACTCACTCTCCTTGTCATTTGCCCCACAGATCCCACAAGTAGCATTTCCTACAGAATCATCCATGTCTTCATCTTTATCCTCTCCATGGCTCTCTTGCATTGTCGCATTTCCCTTTTCCCTTTCATCTTTTTCCACTCTGTGACTTTCTTGCACAGTTGTGTTCCCCTTTACTGCTTGGTTGCTGCAAAAACCACATACGTATTCTTTCATTCTTCTGGCCTTGGATGGTTTAATTTTCACACACTTGCCATGAAACCGCCCTTCACATAAATGACAGACAAGCCAGAACTCGTTATCATTGTAATTTTCCGCACAGATCCCACAAATAGTTCTGCTTTCTTTGTCTTCATCTTCACCTTTATCCTCTCCACGGCTCTCATGCATCGTTGCATTTCCCTTTTCCCTTTTACTTCTGCATAAGGGGCATTTGTATTTTTTCATACCTTTGGCCTTGGCTGGCGTAAGTTTCACACACTTGCCATGGAACCACCCTTGACATAAGGCACAGCACACCCGGAACTCATTCTCCTTGTCATTGGTCGCACAGATCCTACAAATATGTTCATCTTTATCCTCATCATGGCTGTCTTGCATCCTTGGAGTTCCATTCCCTTGTTTGTTTCTCTGCAAGTAAAGTGATGATATAACTCAGAAGTTCATGGTGATAACGTGCATGTAACAGGTACTTAGGACTTCACAAAGTCACCTTGAAATTAGTTTTGGATTTGCTACCAATATTAGCATTGCATTTCCGCTTTACAGGTTTCTTCTCTTTCAAGACTTCACAGATGGTGGGTTGATCATTTATCAGGTCAAACAAATGCTCTCTGTTGATTAAACAAACAATGCCCAGAGGATAATAACATTAAGCTAAACAATTTCAGGAATGACACCAAAGGAGGGGGGATAAAAAAAGAAATAAAACAAGTATTATGATGAATTCAGAAGCTGAAAACACATTCTAAAATTGACAGTTGTAGTAATTTTGACTCTGGACAGTCCATTCAACAACCAAATCTAGAAAATTATTCACACTTCATCATAATGAATGGTCCAAAATTCAGTGTATGTGGTAACATGAAAATTGAGAGTGCTTCCGTCTCCATGGGGATATCTGTGTAATGTGTATATATGTCAGAGTATGTTGCAATAGGTGTCGAAACCACCAGTAGCCAAAATCACAGGGTTATGAACACTGTCTAAAAGTGGAGGTAAATGTTTTGGGTCATATTAGAACTCAATTTTGTGTTTAGTGTTTTATTATTATAAGGTAAAAGTAAAACAAACTACTGAAGTATTGGTAATATATCTCATTTTACAGAAGCCCACAATTTTGAAACCACCAGATTTATTTTGAGTATCAAAGAACAATTTACTTTTCAGCACTTAACCTCTCTATATGATATGGGAAACACTTGATAAAACTGCAATACCCAAGAGAAGAGAAAAGGAAGAAAGTTAAAAAAAAAACAAAACAAAACAAAACAAAATTTGCAGTTTGCAAGTTCAATCTTGTAGTGGTACATAACATATTAGCATACCGATACATCATCAATCACCCAACTAAACCAGGTGCAAACTATTATTTCACCCTATTTCTAAAATCTAGTTCCATCCAATTGTCAGTAGATCACAGAACCCCACGAATGCCCTTGTTTTGGACCCCTTCATCAGTAAAATCCACAATTGAAGCAACACCTAAAGAAATTATTTCTGTTTGATTAGATATATTCTCTTTGCTTCTCATTTTCCTCCAAGTTGAACAGTTGTTTCACCCATTTTTAAGGTGAAATCAGTTTGACATAAGGTTTCATAGTCCAGAAGTCCACTCAGTCATTCTAACTTTTTCTACTTATATTTTTTCAATTATATTCTTTTGCGTGTCTCCAAATGATGCATTTGTTTTGTTGAATTGAGTCACAGGCTTGGATCCATTTTGCATATCTTCTACTTTAAGACTCTAAGTTTCAATATCTACCTATCTATCTATATAGTAAATAACTAAATACTTTAAACCAAGGTTGTAAAAGGCGCTAGGCGCTCATCGGGCGGTGGATGGGCAACTAGTCGCCGCCTAGGTTCCTCAATAATTTTTTTTTTATTACATTTAATA